AAATGACAACCTCTCAAGCTTTGCTACTCTGGGTAAAAGTTATCATGACGTCACAGCCTTCAGTCTTATTAGAAAAAGTGATCCAAAAAGTCCTATCAACAGTGGGCGTTAAAATTCCAAACGGTTGGATGTGTAAGTTTTATAAGACAATGTATAAAAGTGGACTGGGAATTTCACCCTCAACTTGATGTGGATGATAAATGGATTTTCGTACAGTACATGATCTTATGTGCTACAAAACATTCGGTTCCGCATCAGTTCTCCGAAACTACAAACAATGTTCAGTTATCAAGAATTGTACTCTTCCTTCGCCGAGCTGCGAAAGGTAGTACTGGGTAGAATGTGAACGAACTGGTAACAACAACGCATACAGCCAACTCAAATAAGTGATTAACCAGTGCACAAAGGAAATAAGAGAAGACAGGCTTCAGTATCATATAAAGCTAATCGATAAATTTGTTTCTGATTCGATAAGTTTATACCGTCATGCAACCTCTCGTCGACAAGTCAAAACCGACGTTTCCCAACTGCTAGGTTCGAATGCCTCGTCCAACAACGAAAAAGACGCTGGCGACTTTCTGGCAGAACAGTGATTCAGACATTTCAACAGATCCATAGTAATTATAATGATGAGAGCTTCACCTGCGATTCCATGAGAGTCTCAAAAGTGAATCTGTTCGACGACTTGGCGTAGCGGAAATTGCAGCATCTAAAAAAACAGTTCTCCCGACTCGGGCTTATTTCATTCCGCTATATCGAGAGAAGAAACTTCAATCTTAGCAGCACCCTCTAACATGACGTTCTCACATTCTCTAAGAGGAGGCAGTGTGCTAGAAAATCGGAATCTGGTTCACATCAGTCTTCAAATGAGAACAATAGACTGAACATACGTGTTATTGGTCAGTAGCACTTCTCTTAAAACCCTCGAAAGTTATTTGGTCATGGACAGATGGTGATCAACGTGACTAATTGCTATTCACAAACTTCCTTTTACCCCAACACCATGGTTTCCCGGACCTTCACTCTTGTATTAGCAACCTACTGACCGCGGTGAGCAGATGGAGAACCGTCCTTAGTAGAAAGAGGAAAGTTGATGTCATGTACCTTGGATTTTCAAAAGATTATGATGCGGATAATCATGTATTTCAACAGTGAAATAAGGTTATCCGAACACTGTAATGTATTAATGCAATACATTTGAAACTGTTTGATCACATATATACTTGTTAAGAAGATTTTTATACAAATTAAAAGGTCGACTAGACCATAAGTAGAAGGCAATTTATCAAAGCGATTAATGGCGTTAAACTTCAATCATATATCATTTATTAACAAGCTCAAATGATTGGGTATCAAATCATCATTAATTTAGTTACTTACTTCTTATCTAAATGGTCGACATTTTAGGTTTAGAGTGTTTTTCATCTTATATCAGGCTACAAAATGTCCCAATGGTATCTTTCATGGCTCAGCTTCGGGACTGCTACTTCTCTCAATTTACTAAAATGAATTTCTCCAGCAAGAAACCTCTTATTTATTGCGTTTTGTCTGTGATATTGAACTTCGTGGACGAGTTTGTAAACTAGATGACAAGCTGACATTCCAGGAGGATTTAGCTCAACCTCAAAGTTTGGTGAGTAACCACGGAGTTTGCGTCATTGCATAAATACACTTTTATTTACTATGCAATCTGTTATGTAAGTTAGACATTTATGGCACTTCTACCGTTCGTCGTCAATATCATCTATCGTATCAACCATAATCTTGACACGCAGTGAAGTAAATGATGTTAAAATACGTGGGAACACGCGGTTAAGCATAGACCTCAATTAATATTCTACTGTGAATACTTTTTAGCATTTATGACCTACCCACTTAGTTGATCCAAGTCACTCTCATCTTTATCCCTAAACAAATAAACGGCTCATTTCTAGCTCTATTAACTTTCTAGCTAGTGTGCTTGAATTATTGGCGTAAAACTTCGATCTAGTTATTATTAGAATTATTAAACTTCCTAGTTTCCAGCCACTGCTGTCAGTTAAACGATTAGGACTATTGGTTCACTACTATCTCTACCGCCACCACATCACCTGATTATATTTTCTTAACGATACAACCTCTCTTTACTCCACAGGTGTGACGTCAACGATAATTGCTGAACAGCATGAAGTATATAATCTCCGCGGTCACAGCAAGAATGTTCACAAACCGCAATCTAATAAGCTTGAAGTGGGGTCCCGATTTTATCATCGAGTAGTCAATGTCTATCTGCGACATGTTACGGACTACATTTACAGCTTAATAAACTGCTCTCTAGGTTTAGGAATCCTGTTACTCTACGATTTGAAGTCTTACGCTAACTGTGACAAAAATGCCTTTCGAGCAAAACTTGCACTGGTAACACTGAATCGCATTTTTGGTCAGTTTAACGGAATAACCTTCCACATAATCTTCAACAGTTTTATTCGTCTCCATTTAGAGTACGGAAACATAGTATGTCCTCCTTCAGTCCAAAAGGATCAGGACACTCTGGAACGTATTCAACGGCAAGCCACGAAATCAGTCCTGGGACTCAAATTCAAGCATTATGAAGAGCGCCTCCATTCACTAAACTTTTACCCATTAGAGTATAGGCGTCTTAGAGGTGACCTTCTGATGACTCACACTTCAGGACATCCCCTTAAACACCTAGTTTAGCTTAGTCCCAATACAAATTTAGGGGGTAACACCCAGAGATTGGAGATACAATATAGCATAACGGACTGTAGACACAACTTCTACTTAAGAGCCGTCAAATGCTGGAATTCGCTGCCGAAAGAACTAGTTCAAGTGAATTCCTAAGAGTCCTTTAAGAGGCGACTTGACCTATTCATAAGGACTAAGGATAACATCTTATTATGAGTTACCAACTTATTTTTTTCCCTTTTATCGTTAATATATCTAGGTTCCTGCCTGGAGGTATTGGTGATCTCCTGCTACTAGACACGGAAGCCTGTTAACCGAAAGCTTCTTCTATTCCGTCCACAACCATTTGAACCATTTGGACTGGAACGCCTATCCAGAACGAGTGGTATCAGCTACATCAGTGAATGTTTTCGAAAAGAATTTGGACCTTCACTGGAAAGCAATCTGTCAGGTTTAACACAGGTTGACCACCCACTGTTCTTATTACTGTAGACTGAAGACTATTTCAAACTGAAATCGATATCGTGTTGGCGGGTGTTACCAATTATTCGGTACTTTGACTCTTTTGCTAGATTCTACGCTAGGTTTCCCTCCATTTATTTGAATTCGGAAATCCAGCGTCTCCTTTTGTATTTACATGTTATTTCATCATAGTGCAACGCCCACTATATTTACGTTTAATTGTGTTTGTCAGAAGATCTGTGACGTCTACTGACCGTACATATACTCGTATATTGTTCGTGATGGAATTATTATAATAAAAAATTATTTAATACGTGTTTTCGTCAGTCCCCTCTAAGTGGTGTATTTGATCTCTCCCAAATATTGTCGTCTATATTTTCACGTCGGTTTGTTAGTCTAAACTAAAATTGTATGGGTCAGTTTGGTAATATATTAGACGGATAACTATAGTTATCCGTCTAGTGTTTCCAAACGTGTTGTTTGTAATGTATTCACCTCATAGTAGGAATTTTCGAAATAGTTACATTTTTTTGCTATCGCGAAAATGACTGGTTATCAAATTTCCTCTGCAATTTTCGAACTCGACATAAGTCTTAATCTGTCTCCTAAGAGCAGCCTAGCACTATCACTAATCCACACTTGAAGTGCTACTCAACACCACGATTGATTACTGTAATCAGCTGTTAGAGACTTTGAAATATGTGACTCGAAGCCATTCTCAATGTCGCAGTTGCATTCATTCTGTCTTCCCTCAAATCTTGAGTTTCTAAATTCCTCATGACATTTCTTCGTATTTTTATCTCACTAATTTCTATTTGCTTCTTGAATCGTATTTTCTGTGCCTAATATTTTTAATCACCACTGGTATTATTACTACCTCTACTAATCTGGGATTCGGCCTAACAATATCTCTGTGTTATTGGGGTGTAGCCGCTTGAACCGAAGTACATGCGTACTAGGTTCTATGTTAGAGCTGAAAACAAATAAACGAGTATTTTTTTTGCTTATTAAGCTATGTGGGGTATTGTTAACGAATTCTAAGCCAATCACTTTCTCATTCAAGTCCTGTTATCTGTTAGTAAGCCTTATCTAAGCAGCACGTTCCACAAAGTGAACCAGCCAGAATTCAGGTTAGGTTTCAGGTTCATTAAGAGTAGGCTAATATGATACTTGACCGTTTTTTAATTAAGAAGTTTAAATGAATCCGAAATATCCTTTAAATTCCACGGTTAAACCTAAGTATAAATGAAAGCTTAACTTTGACTTGTCTCCTACACATGTTAGAATGTCTGTATTGTTTTGAGTGAAATATACTGCTAATTCTATTAATTCATGTGTGCTTATTGGAAATGATGCTTCTCAAAATTTTTCAAAGTCATGATTTTAAGGTAAGAACATCAGTCTTTTTAAAAGAACTGTAAGCTAAGTGAAACTTTTTAAGACTAGATATAAAATCACGGTATGCCTAACTAAAAATTAGTTACAGAGACTTAGGATAAGCTTCATGAGTCGCAAATAGAGGAGTGATGTAAGTATCTTTTAAACAAGATACCTCATCAGCAAGCTGATAGCTTGCTGTTGTTTCAGCACTCTGATGTTTAGTTAAGAGATAATGATGTATTCAACTTTCGGTTGTGTTACTGTTTGAAATCATTGCATCACTGAGTTTAGTCTTTCAAAAATAAATATTCAATTATTATGATTATCCACAATTATATTCTTCCTTGAAGATTCGTTGTTTGGTCCAATAGGTTGATGTTTCCTTACATTTGATTTTCCGGGCTATGTGCCAAAACGAAACGGCAGTGAAATCTTGAGGAAACTCACATTATTTAGTCTCCGAAGATCGCAGCATGACTAATGATCTAACTACAGCTTTTAGTGAAGAGATCGCAAGGTGCTTCACGTTTGATGGTGTTTTCAAAGATTTAAACAATCAGGTTAAACTTAAGGATCTGTCACAATCGTTTGATTCGTAAGTCTCTTTTTTCTTTGATAATTATTTGGAATTTCATAGAAGAGAATTTTTGGGTCCACTACTCAGTCACTACACATTTCCACCAGTACATTGGTTTGGGACGTGTTTGTATGGAGTTGTTCTAGAAGCTCTGGATATCAAGGAACAGGAAGTTAGTTTCACAATATACTAATCTGCAACATTTAGCAACCAGTTGAATGTTACGATCTAGATATACCCGAAGATGAAGCCATTAGTTATGCATTCGATCACCATTCGTTAGTAACATCTCAGTTGCCTGATTCATACGATGATATCGTCCAAACCGCCGACGAAATCATTAAGGAAATTGATATTCTTATGGTAAATGTAGAGTAAAGTTTCTTAAACTCTTTCAGAATGATGATGAAGATATCCCTTTGTCACTGTGCAATATGGTTCAGTCGGAGTATAAACGTCCACTGGTGCTAGAAAATATCGGAAGTGATTGGCTTCCTGAAGAAGGTTTACATTTTTATAATCGATATTATTGTTCATATTTTTCGGTTTTTAAAAATCCTATTTAAATAGACACTTACTAATTTGAGACATCGATAGTTCGTTCGATTGCGCTCCTCTTGTATTAACTTTCAATGTTTATTTGGTTTTCTTTTTTATGATCGGAAACGGGAGCTTTGTTTACTTTGATTTCTTTCTTATGTATCACTAAGCATTCTAAAATGTACCCCCGAATGCCCTGGTACGGCCGAGAGTGGAGAGAGTCCGCTCTCCCTCTCGAAATGCTCTCACACGGCCATGCGTATATAGCCTCTGCCAGGGAAGTCCTACTCACTGCCTTCTCGTGGCGGGGCGTTGTTTACAAAAATGAGAGGACGAAAAGCGAATGTCCGGCGCTTTAACCGGACCCCAAACCAATGGTGCACATGGGCTCCAGTATCCTGAGGGGACAAATGGCGTATGAACCAATCGTTGGTCACCGGCTACCATGGGACTGCATCTCCTCACGATGCTCCACTGCCTTGTGGGTCAGACGTTCAGGTCGAAGGCTCGGGGTGTGTCTCCCTAAGAAAACCACCTGTTTCGGTTTGGGCACCCAGGCAGTATCACAGGCCTTACACATATCAATTGAGATTCGTGTGGCGCATATGTACTTGGTGCCTCCCTGTACCTATACTTATGTGTTAAAATAAATAAATTCTAAAATGTAATCACTAAACTTTACATCAGATGAGTTTAAGTATAAGTTTGAAGATTCGACTTTCAACTACTTAAAATTGTACTCAGTAACTCGTTCAAACGTGTACGTGAGTTCTGTATGTGCTGTTGGTTAACCGGTTAATGGTTTTCTCGTCTAACTAACAGGAACAGAAGCACCGGCCTTGATCTTCATCAAAATTGAGTGCTAACTGAATTGCTCCATATGGGATTTTTATTGTCACTAGTATTGTAAGTTACAAATATCTGATGATTATTTGCTGAATACAGAACTGATCAAGCTGTACGTAGATATATTCGAAAGGAAATTTGTCGATAAATGAACTGGAAAAGGAACACTAACAAGTAGAGAAAAACAGTTGTGAAATACTGTGATGTTTGAAATTCTGATGAATAGCGAATGCGTATACGCTGCGTTGTTTATAGTCTCACATATCTGATTTTTAACCACTCAAACCTGATCCAATAGATTTACACCTCATTGTATGTTTCAGAACAAACGATAGGTATCGTGAAGTATTGTCATGGGGTTTTCAACATGCTAATATTTGCTAACATGTGCGTTTGTTGTAGACGATTCTGTAACATAATGTATTGAAATATTCATATGGCATCAAATAACGTGATTAGACATTTTTTTGTTTATTATATTATGTATGCAACTTTAACTTCTTTTTATTTACTAAGTGTGGGTTAATTTTATACCTGAACTTTATTTTGAACATTATTTTTACTAATCATTGGTGTTTTTTCATTTATTAATCGTTTGAAAACTGTTCGATCCTCTTAGCTAATGAATTTAATTCGTTGAAATAATGAAAATAAAATATCGTTGTAATTGTTTGTCTAATCATTTTATTTTATTCTGAACTAAAAAGCGCTTACCTGGTATTCACTGAAAAATTTCAAATTAATTTTTACATTATGTGAATTTTTTGAAGCTATGCAAGATCTTTCTCTGAATGAACTCAATGCATTATTAGAGGAACTAGAATCTTGTGTACGAGAATATTCTGCTATCCTTGTTCAAGAGTTAGCATATAGAGAAGAATTGGATTTTGAACAAGAACAGAAAGATATTTTTATTGCACGCTTGAATGAATTGCACCGCCGTCTGGAGCGTCGGAGACGTCTGAGTATACCACCAGATAATCATATCCAGTTACTGTCGAATTCTCTGTTGGTAAAAGACTATGATGAAGCGTGCACATTTGGGCGAAACGTAGTATTTGACAATATGGGATCACCACCGAATTCTGTTCATAAAGAAGCCCCACCATTCATTTTACGTATGCCATGTTCATATTTTCAATTTTTTGCTGTATCATATATTTTTTTGTCATCTTAATTCACTTCATACCTACCTTCTACTATACAATCATAGTTTTCAACGTCTACACTAAGTTTCACTATGTACACAATATAATCACTTTGTATGTAAATCACAGTAGATTCCTTTTATGACATTTGTTTATATATGTTCAAAGGAGTTTAGGTCTATCAAGGTGAATACCTAACATATTAGAAAGTTAATTCATTCGTATTGTTGTAGTGTTTTTCTAAAATACTTCAATTATAAAATTTCGTTGGTCTCAACAACTGGATATTTGTGGCAGATTGTACCATTTATTTACGGAACCTGGATCTAGTCACTCAATCAGGATAAATAAAATCAATATTTAACCATAGGCCTAATGTATGTAGTATACGCACTAGTTTGGCGTTTACCAAGTTGAATTTGCGAATACTTTTTAAAAGTTGTGTGATATTAACCCCTTAAATAAACATCACAATGGACTTTTTAAACCAAGTCTTCTATCGCTGGTTTCCGTGAATTATGTATTGCTTTACTTTTGCATTTTACACTCATATAATGACTCAAGTTGTTTGATCATTAAATGAATAAGGATGTGTCAATATTTAAAAATTAAAATCCATTTCTCTTGTAGGAATCTTATTGTTGATAAAGAGTAAGTTACAGTAGCATATTTTCGTTTCGCTCAATAGTTGGGATTTTTAAACATTTAGGTTAGTAATTTTGATGTGTGTCTATTTCTTCACTACGATCTATTTTTTTACTATCAGGTGCACAGTCAGCAGCTCAGGCAGCGGTTGCTGCAACATCATCTGCAACAGTTGCAATAAAAAGACATTTTCGAAAGCTGAGTACATTCTCAAAGGATACTTCAGGAACAACTCATCAGTCAGATCAATGTAATCCTGTCCATACAACATCTATTTCTACAAATAATAAATGTGACGTGAACAATTTATCAGAAAAAGATGATCATACAATTCACTGTCCAACAATTATGTCTGCTCGAGCTATTGCCATTGCTCGTCTTCGGAAATGGGCCGGAAGAAAATCAGAAGGACCTTCGGAAACTGAGAACACCGGGACTTTCAGGGCTTTCCTTCGCCGTGGGCGTCATCAGGCAGAAGTCCCAATGAACTCGTTTGTCCGTAGTCGAGAAGCTCGTTCAGCAGTAACTAGTCCTACATCATCTCAATTTGAATTCCCTCCAATACCTACCACTTTAACACACTCAGCTTCTGGTCACTTGATTGGACGATCTGAACTAAGTTCGGATGATCTTGAATATAAGGTAGTCATTATCTTTTAAATATTTCTAGATGTTCGTGTTTACGCTTATAAACCATACCCAAAATGTATTGTCTTCAGTTACTCAGTATAGTATTAAACTGCATCTAGTTTATAAGGTGATAAAATAACTCATTTTTTTAGTTTGAATGAATTATGTATCCATAAATGAAGCATCCCTCTACAATAATTGCTATCGAAGTGAACGAAAACTCGTGTACGGTAAACCAATTGATTGTCTTATGCAAAATCATATTGTCTTTGCAAAATATGAAAATCATACATGAAATACATCATCTGCACATCTTCTTTGAGTTGTCCTTCGCACACTCCATCATTCTTCCAATCCTGGTGGTGTTCCGATTGCTTTCCGTTTTCCTTCCTCTCTTTATTTCAGTTTTCTGGTGGTATGCATTCCTCTTCCAATTCCTGCTACATACTACTTATATTTGTTTGCATAAGTAGCACACACCACAGTATTGCTAACAACCTACCAGATACTCACATTATTTGGAATTATCAAGTCAGACCTTGATAACAATACTTATACTAACTGTTTTAGCGTCTATACACAGTTCATTTACAAATATACATAATGGTCTATTTATTCAAACATTTTGATGATGAGTTTTTATGTTTGTTACACACGTCATGCACTCATTTTTGAAAAACTGACCTTATATGCTACTTCAATGTGAAACTCATATTGTATGGAAGTGAATTTTTCTTAAGTTTATAGTGGCGCTACTGACAAATCATATCTCCTAATAGCCTCCAACTGACTGTTTTATGTTGCACTTCGAATGCTATAACTTTATTTAAGACATAAACCAACGTATTCATTAAATAACTATTATGTTTGTTGCCTTGCATTTTTCGTTTTTATTAGTCAAAAGTCTAGATGGAATTTCATCGTATTAGTAATAATCGCAGTTATTACTTCCTAATTTGTCTAAAACTATACTTTATTGGATTGTAGGGTCAGATTTTCCACTGACTAGTAGCTTTAAAGTTATCCAAATTTTTGTTTTACTGATCTTTATCATCTAAATACCATGAAATTTGTTACCTCCACTTTGACAATGCACTATTGGGTGTTGATAATACTCGATCCAATGATTGCCGAATTCGGCCACCTCAAATGCCCAGGTACGATCGAGGGTTCGGAGAGTCCGCTCTCCATCTCGAAATGCTCTCACATGGCCACGTGCATACAACCACTGTCAGGGAAGTCCTACCTGACCGTTGTTGCTACCTTGACGTGGTGGTCGGGCTTGCCTATCGTGATGAAGCCACTGAGCCATACTGGCTGGAACAACCGTTCCTCAAGGTCCTACCATGCCAGACAGGTCGGTTGAAGAGCGGTAAGACTAAAAGCAACAAAACCAAGGTCCGAAGGCGAAGTCGTACTGCTGACTGTACAGAGGTGTGACAGCAGTAAGGTGTTTCCTTCAGACAACCAGCATAACAGCGATGCTGCCTTCCCAAAAGGAGTGGAGGGGTTAGAAAAGGTCGACCCTAAAAATGCACACCTCGCCTTATCCCACGGATATCCGTCTCCGACGGTAAGGACTCAACAAGTACGGAGCTAACACAAAGATTACTCACAGAAAGGTCGTGTGTGACCGACCTCAAGCAGCTGTCCCTTGGGCACTGCGGTCACGCTCTCAGGTCACTATGACCACCTCTAATCCAATTTCCTTTTCAGGTACCTTCAGAAGAACCCTTCCACGGTGTGGGCAACCGGGATGTGAAAACCGCCCTCATGCCTCTAACAGCACTCAAGACCACTGTATCTGGCGACCCAACGGCTAGTCCTCGTGGACTGGCAGGTGTAGGCATAGCACTAAGCATGACGGCGGAGCACGCGCTATTAGAGTGGATCCTCGCCAACAGTCGTCTATGCGCTGTTCGGATAAACGGCTCGGTAAGAACTCGGAAGGATAGGGACACACGTCGTTGCCTTTTCGTCGTTTCTGCCTACGCTCCCACTGACTGCAGTTCGGATGAAGTGAAAGATGAATTTTACAGAAAGCTATCTGAATCTCTTCAGAAAGCTAAACGCTCAGTCATATTACTCGTAGCAGGCGACTTTAATGCCCAAGTAGTTAGCCTAAAGCAAACAGAAAGACATTTAGGTGGGTATTTTAGTATTCCGGGTCAGCGAACAGATAATGGTGATCGTCTGCTGCAACTGTGCTCAGACAATCGTTTATTTTTAGCAAACACTAATTTCAAGGATAAGGAGAGACATCGTCTAACATGGCGACCCCCTGCACCAAACCAACGATGGACTCAAATAGATCATATTGCCATCAGTCATCGTTGGAGAGGGTCAATAGAAGATTGTCGCTCATTCTGGAGTACCTGTTTGGACTCCGGCCATGCCCTAATACGAGCACGCATCTGCTTGCGCCTCACTGGACGCAAAAGAGCCACACAAAAAAGACTCATTAGAACTGAATTGAGTAATAAGAAAACCAAAAGTAGGTTCCAAAAACAACTGAGGTCACACTTAGGTAGTTCTGAAAACAAGGCTGACCCAGATGTTGTTTGGAAAAATATACAATCAGCTGTGGAAACAGCAGTGACATCTACTAGTGATTTAAACCACAGGGTTACAAAGAACCAATGGATTTCGTCAAGGTCTATTGCACTGATGGATTCTCGTAAACTCATCCCATCAGGTTCTGAATACGATGAGGAGCGTAAAGAAATCAGATCTAGATTAAGCAAAAGTCTAAGGAACGACCGTGAGCAGTGTTGGGCAACGAAAGCAAAAGAGATGGAAAAGGCGGCGATTATAGGGAACACAAGACAACTCTACAGACTAATAAAAGAAACTGGAATTAATAAATCAAGTGTAAGTCAGACCATTTCGGAAAAAGACAACACTCTCATCTGCTCCCAGTCCAGACGCTTAGAACGATGAGCGGAACACTTTAAGGAGAAGTTTAGCTGGCCTTCAGCTACTCTACAACTACACTCTATTCCCAGACAGTGTGAATGGAACATTAAAGTAGGTCCCCCATCTCTAACTGAAGTTCAAAAGGCTATAGTTAATCTGAAACGAGGAAGGGCATCTGGTCCAGATGGATTGGCCCCAGAGGTCTTTAAAGATGGTGGTCTAGTTTTAGCGACTAGGTTGTCTAATATTTTAACTAAAATCTGGGAGTTAGACGTTATCCCCTCTGACTGGTCACAATCACTTATCGTCGCAATATCTAAGAAAGAGTCAAAATCATCCTGTAACAACCATAGAGGGATTAGTTTGACTAATATAGTATCTAAAATACTAGCTTCGATAATTTTCGGACGCCTAACTAAGACTCATGAGCTGCAAACACGTGAAAATCAGGCTGGCCTCAGTCCTGGTCGTGGCTGCATCGACCACATATTCACCATTCGTCAGGTTCTAGAACACAGACAGTCCGATGTAGCGGGTCACCAACAATTGGTCCATACGCCATTTGTTCCCTCAGGATCCTGAAACCCATGTGCTCCATTGGTTTGGAATCAGGGTTTTCGAACTCACCTATGTGGATCATCCGTGCCCACCAACTCGGTTAATGCGTCAGACATTCGCTTTTCCTTCTCTCAATTTCATAAACAACATCCTCGACACGAGAAGGCAATGAGTAGGACTTCCCTGACAGTGGTTGTATGCACGTGGCCATGTGAGAGCATTTCTATAGGGAGTGCGGACTCTCCGAACCCTCGATCGTATTAGGGCATTTGGCGGCAGTAGCGAACATAACAATATAACCACGGACCATTTGGCCACATTTTTGTTTTTAATGTCTTGACATATTTAGATGATAATCTGAAACTGACATATTTTAGGTTCAATATCAGTGCCAAGCCTTAAGTTGTTTTTAGAACAGTGAGTGACAATTTTTACTTGTACTTTTGAGACTAGTAAATGTGGTCTTCTTCTGTCGTTAGCTTTGTTCAATACATTCCTGTAACGCTGTAAAAAACCAATTTCTTCATTACAAACATACTGTGCTATCTTTGAAGTTAGATTATTGAAAAACTATTCAAAAGAATACAAAAGATGTAGTTAAAACAATAATAATAATGTGAGAAGCAGTTCAATTAGGAAAAATACAACCAGAAAGAATTCTTTCAGGTAAAAAAGTTACTCTTACTTTTATGAAGAAAATAAATGAAAGTTACAACAGATTGGCCATTGGCTTCTATTCTGAGCCATATCTGATAACGTCTCTAGCCACTGTTTGGCACCATCTCTAGGATCCCAACCAGGGAGTCGAGAAGGACCAACAGAAGCCAGTCCTGTACAGCTTTCTTTCATTTCGCGACACCATGTCATACAATGACCAACTCTTCGCTCTTTCCAACCAGTCCCAGAGTCGGCAAATAATGCACGACATGGAATTCTGTGGAACGACATTCGTAGTACATGTTCAAGCCACCGAATTCGATGTTTCTAGATCGTGACACCAATGGAATTATCGTCGCTGTGCCCGAACACACGATGCCAAACCTCTTCATTACTAACATGATGTTGCCACTGGATGTCAGCAATCCATCGGGTACAACGATGATCAAACACAGAGGGTCGTCTAACATCGTCAACTCAGAGAAGCCAGGATTTACGAACATAAAGCAAAACTACTCTCACCGACGTGTTGTAGATCCGACCTTTTACAGTCAGACTAACATCATGAAGGCGCCAACAATGGCCTAGATTGGTATAAGCCGCTTTGGTTTTCATTATACGTGAATTGGTATTGCCGCTGATGCCACCACCAGCACTTATGCAGTTACCAAGATGCGTCAACTTCTCGATTGCTTCAAACTACTCATTACCAAGAGTATGTGCATGTTCAGAGTATTTCCATTCTTGTGAAAGTGCTTTGCATTTCGAAGGTGCAAATCGCATGCCTTACCTACAGACATTGATTTTCAATTGTCGATTGCATGCCTTGGGTAACATTGGACATCAAGACAATATCCTCTGCATACTCAAGGTCAAGAAGTCTTTCTCCAGGCAACAGATCCACTCCACCATTACTTACATCCATCAGAGCTGTTTACAGAACATCATCCATGAGAATGTTGAAGAAGAATAATTAGATTGTACAACCTTACCTAACCCCACTGTTTAAATTAAGCAATAGAGTTGGGTGGTTGAATACACTCTGTCTTAGATATTTGGATATAGGGCTTTTAAGATGTTAATTAACGTCTCAGACACACCCTTCTTCAATAGATAATCCCAGAGAACAGTCTTGTCCAACGAATCAAGACGACCTCAATGTAAAAGTACACTACGATTGTTGACCTGCAATTGGTATGTCAGTGTTCTAACATTTGGCGGAGGTTAAAGACATTATCAATATATCCTCAACCAAAACGAAAACCAGCCTGCTCCTCTTGAGTCAATCTTTCTCGGGTTTTGAAAAATCTACGAAGTGTAAGGAAAGCCAATAGTCTGGACGCAATCGGAAGTAAACTTATCCTCAGATAGTTGTTACAGAAACGACGTGAACCCTTTTAATGATATGGACCATTATCGACTCATTCCACGATGTTGGATCACTCTGTAATCATGTGATGAATCTGTATCCAGGCTTGAGATGCAGAGGTAGGATGCTAGGTCTGACATAGGGGATGACTGTGCCGATGGTTAGTGCTAGCCAGAAACAGGTTGCAGTCCGGGAAAATTTGCAGTAGACTGTCACTTATTTGACCTATGACCAACAAGCGCCCATTGATCACCTGTGGATTCAAATCTCCGGCTAGAACTACATTGTCTTAACTAGTGGTGGATGTAGGATGAGGCGGAAGACAGTAGTATATCTCAACTAAGTTAGATATTTCTATGTTTAAAATATGATTACAAAATGTTTTCTAGTAGTTGTGTTCAAATTTACTTAAGTTTTTAATTTCTAAATCCCATGGTTTGTAAATTCCTGGTTATAGCTTAATAAGCAGCTAATCTGAAAATAAAGTTTCAGAGCATTTTGTTTGCAAATTGATCATACCCAATTATTGTTTGTTAAAATAAGCAAACCAGCCGGAGTTTCATGCTAACTAATCCTTAGTTTTTTTTGAAAAACATTTTATTTAAACATCTTTTAGTGATGTTTCTCCGACAATGATTATTAGGAGTTTTGGAACCATGTGTTCAAATATTCGTAGTCACTCAAAAATCTCTAAAAGGTTACAGTTCGTTTAAAATATATTGGTTATGCAAATCACTCATCAATTCACGATTTTCTTTATTAAACACCATATATTCTTATAGTAGGATTAGTGTTCGGAAGAATGTTTGATAGATATGAAATTTGGAAACTTAGAAATCTATACTGTTTGTATGTACACCATTTACTCTCAATTGATTCCTTTATCCAGTGTTTTTTTTAGTCCTTTTGCGATTAGATTATTGTGATTGTTTTGGTCGAGTGATATTTATTCTCAAGAGTTTAAATATCATTCTTTGAATACAAGTATGAATTTTTGTTTTTTCTGATATTTTGCCATCAGTATTTGACCACTTCGGTTCCGTACCACCGATCTCCCAGGAACGAAGGACCTACCGTTACCCAATTGGAGCTGTTCAACGATATGCTTTTGGCCATTTTAACGAACAATCCAAATCTGACACCTATGCTTACCGATTATATTCTTAATGGTAAGTTATATTTCTTATCTACCTTACGATGATTTGCTTTCATTAATCCAGAATTATTTACTATTTTATCTAACCCTTAAACGTTTGGCATAATGTTTCTTATATATATAACTTATTACCACTCATCAAATCGGAAATAATCTCTTTTTGATCATGAAACTAATTGTCAACTATGTTATCGATCCTGGTTTTTATTTCAGTGGCAATGCACTGTGACTTACTGTCGTATCTAGGATCTAGTAGTTGGTCCTGAGGTCAATTATCAATAAAGACAGCAGAACTATGGAGCTCTTTATAGTCGTAAATAAAGCGAAATGTAATTCATTTTTATAATGATTGTTTGAACCTTCCCATCGATGTTTATTACTGCAATTGATTAGTCTATTATGGACATATGTGTATCCTGTGTAAACTACCTCGATATTGCCTTAAGTTACAATCATTATGGACAAAAGTGGTTGATGGCTAGTAGTGGAATCCAGGACGCGCGTTTCTCCCTGCTATCACGTAGTGATCATTCACTCTGGGATACAGGTGCATCCTATTGACGTGTCCTAAGTAGGACGAGACGCGCGTCCTGGATTTCACTGCTAATCATCACCCATCTCTACTAATAAAGTAGGACGTACTTCCGCAATTCCTAATTCGCTTGTCACCTCGTCCTAACTATTGCTTAGTTAATCACTACCAAACCACAATTTCAACGTAGTATTTCTGTTATCAACAGAGGTTATAAAATTACTATTGTGGTAGTTATTAGTCTTTGGTCAGTCGTCCCTACCTTAGCTGCTACATTGACGTGGTGGCTAGGCTTGCCTGTCGTGATGACTCAGATGGGCTATATTGACTGGAACATGTCCATTTAGGTCCAACCATGCCAGGCAGGTCGGTCGGAGAACGGTAAGACTAAAAGCAGTAGCTTTTAAGGTATGAGGACGAAGTCGTTCTGTTAACTGTAGGAGGGTGTGACTGTAGTAAGGTGTTTCCCTCGGAAAACCAGCATCTGCAACGATACTGCCTTTTCACAACTGAACGGAAAGGTTAAAAAAGGTCGACCCTAGAAGTGTCGCACCTTACCTTTCCGTCTCCAGCGGTTAGGCCTTTTGAAGTGAGGATCTAACACATCAAAAACTTCCCATAAAAAGTTCATGAGCGACTGGCTTCAAGCAGTCTTCTCTTGAGCTCTGCGGTAACGTTCCTATGTCTCTAAGATCACCATCAATTCAGCTTCTTTTTCGGCCCCCAAGAAGTTATATCATTGTACAGTGTGGGTAACCGGGAAGTCACAACTGCCCTAATATTCTATCAGAAACCGAGATCTTGTTAACGATCAAATTTCTCCTTCAACTCTTAATAAGGAGGCAGCTTAAATTTAGGTTGATAAAAAGCCTACATAATGATCATGAGCAGTGGTAGGTTACAAAAGCAGAAGAGATAGAAAAGCCATCAGCGATAGGTAACAGTAAACAACTGTTCATACTTATCAAGGAAACGAGTAATGAAAATCCTTTTGTTAGTGAAACCGACTCGGAAAAAAGTGGAACTATTATTCACTTTCAATCCAAGACCAATAGGCAGTACACTTTAGGGGACAGTTCAGCTGGTCTTCAGCCCACTATCTCCAAACAACCTGAATGGTAAACTGATATGAGTCCTCCAACTCTTAATGAGTTTGAAAAGGCTATGAGGGATCCAAAGTGAGGGAGAGGAGCAGGGCCTGGTGGACTACTGATATTTTTAAGGATGGTGGTCCACTTTTAGCGGTTAGATTAACTGAAATCTTACATGAAACCTAGGAACTGGACGTCGTCCATCTTACTGGTTTCGATCGCTGATCGTTCCAGTTTATAAGAAAGGACAAAAATCCTCTTGTGAAAAGCACAGAGAAATCAGTTTAACTAATATGATTTCTAAAATATTGGCCTCAATGACACAGACGTCTAACTAGAGTTAATGAAGAGGAAACCCGAGAAGGCCAGGCTACCTTCAGACCTGGACATAGATATACAGATCAACTATTGACCCTTCTGCAGGTTATGAACATAGACATACTTTCCGACGTCCTACTAGAGTTGTATTCCTTAACCTTGAAGTGGCGTATGACTCCGTCGATTGCGAGCTTCTGTAGCAGTGGCTCTCAACGAAAGGCGTACCAAATAAGTACATTAAACTCAGCTCGATTATTGGTCGAATAAGAGTTGATGGCGAACATTCATTGGAATTCGTTACTTCAACTGGTGTTCGTCACGGTTGTCCACTTTCCCCAATTTTATTTAAATTCGCTTTTAGTAATTACACTTTCATTGTCTGACTTTTCACACATTGATCTTCTACCAGGAGATTCACTTGTTGAATTAGAGCACACAAAATGCACAGTTTTCTAACCATCTTAGGCAATAATGCAAGCACGTGTGGAATGCTGTTTTCTCTCTCCAAATGCAGAATTTTACTTCGGGATGGCATGCGTCATCACCTCAATTGATAATAAGAGGGGAGATAGACGGACGTATCGACCAGTTCCTTTATCTTGGGAGTTTCATCAATACTAATAGTTTGGTGTCTGACGAAATCTCGACACGAATTCAGAAGGCTTGATTGGTTTTCGCTAACTTGCATCATTTGTGGTGTAGGTGAAGTAGTCTTCTTTCAAGCAAAGGATGAGTTTAGTGTGCAGCCTTTCGCTCCTAACTTTTCGGATGTAAAACTTAGTCATTAAGAATAGAGAATGTTCGTAGGTTACTGGTATTCCATTATAGGTGTCTACGAGTCGTTGCTCGTGTATTTTGAGACCATGGAGTAAGCAATCCTTGGATTGGGAATATAGTGTTAGGTAAAGATGGACAATCGGTTAGAGGTAGTGAATCTTCATCAACTGAGGTGGTTGGGACATGTATTACGTATGTTCGACCACCCCCTACCTCGACAGGCAATGTTTTTGGTGTTAATGATAGTTCTGATTTTCAACCAAGAAAAGACCGTTTTGTAGCAACCAGGAAATCGGTTTCAATGAAATACAGTTTCTAAGATCGGAGTTTATAACCATTGGATGTTTTACTGAAAAATAAATATAATGAAGTAGGATAAACCATGTGCTGTTTATTGAGACCCTAGTCGGTATTATCCACGCTTGACTATAGATAACTTGTGTTTACTTTTTTTTAACACAATTTGATCGATAAATACTTATCGTCTGCATATCTTTTGACTTCTAGTGAACCTTAGATTCAACCGATTGTGTGTGGTTTTATGGAATTGTATATCACCAAATTCCTTTTCTGACATTTGTATTGAAACCACTGATCAAATAATGTTTAAATTGAGTACTATTGTGTTTAGTTATAGCATTAAGCAAAATAGTACAAACATATTTGGTGAGATTATAGTTTATGGACCTACTTATTAAGACTAAATGAAGGTTATAAGCAGTTTAAAGAATAAGGATTATGATTTGCAGTTAATGGTTGGGGTTAGGAATAAATTTACGGTTTTTATGACGAACTAACAGCTAAAATGCCAGTACGCTATTTGGCCTAATGGGTGTGTGAATTTCGCTCCAAATCTAAGACCTGTTATCCTAGATCTGATCGGTTCTTCCATAAATTTACAGTCTTGCTACATATTTTGTCCAAATTAAAAGTGTATGCATGAATTAAAATCGTCAACAATGGCTTTGGTTCATTCACTACTTGTCTTCCCCTAGAACATGCCTCCCGGTCTCTTTTTATACTTTTGTTCCCTTTTCTATACCTAATTCTCTGTCTCAATACTACTACTGATACTATTATTAATTCTACTACTATGAGATTTATCTTGAAATAACTTTATCTCTCTGTGCTAATGCGGTATGACAACTTTAACTGATGCACATGTTAGGTTCTGCGTTGGATACGATGATATATGCGTTTGAAAAGTTTTGAATCTCGATCAATTAGTTAGTGACTTTAATGTGGGTATAAACATGTGCTTATTACTTATGTATAAAGGTACCTCGTCGTTGGCGTTTTGTAGTGTCACTGGTTTTATTGCATATTTTTTCAGTTGAAATAGCGCTCATCATAAGATATTCCTAACCAAAATATACTTTAATCATATCCTGTTGTTCATTTTCACCATGAAATGAAAGCTTATAATTTATTTAAATAATGAGCTGGCGAGATATCCGTCTGCCAGCCTCACTGAGAGTATACTACACGGTTGTCCGCTGTGTTTGTGAGGCATGGCCCGCAAAATTAGAAAGCACGTGTTACTTACTTACTTACTTACTTACGCCTGTTACTCCCAATGGAGCATAGGCCGCCGACCAGCATTCTCCAACCCACTCTGTCCTGGGCCTTCTTTTCAAGTTCCATCCAATTCTTGTTCATTTTTCTCATATCTATCTCCATTTCTCGGCGTAATGTATTCTTTGGTCTTCCTCTCTTCCTTCGACCTTGAGGGTTCCATATGAGGGCTTGTCTTGTGACGCAGTTCGGTGCTTTCCTCAATGTGTGTCCTATCCACTTCCAGCGCTTCTTCCTGATTTCTTCCTCCACTGGGATCTGATTTGTTCTCTCCCACAGTAGGTTGTTGCTAATAGTGTCCGGCCAACGGATCCGAAGTATTTTGCGTAGACAACTGTTAATAAACACCTGTATCTTTTGGACGATGGATTTCGTAGTTTTCCAGGTTTCCGCGCCATACAGTAGAACTGTCTTGACATTTGTATTGAAAATTCTGACTTTGGTGTTGGTTGCTAATTGTTTTGAGTCCCAGATATTCTTCAGTTGTAGATATGCTGCTCTTGCTTTGCCAATCCGTGCCTTCACATCTGCATCAGATCCACCGTGTTCATCGATGATACTGCCCAAATATGTAAAGGTTTTTACATCTTCCAAAGCTTCTCCGTCAATTGTGATTGGATTGGTACATGTTGTGTTGTATCGAAGAATCTTGCTTTTCCCTTTGTGTATATTGAGACCTATTGCTGCTGAGGCTGCAGCTACACTGGTTGTCTTCTCCTGCATTTGTTGTTGTGTGTGCGATAGAAGAGCCAGATCATCTGCGAAGTCTAGATCATCCAACTGCATCCTAGCTATCCACTGTATCCCGTGCTTCCCTTCAGATGTTGATGTCTTCATGATCCAGTCGATCACCAGGAGAAAGAGAAAGGGTGAGAGTAAGCAACCTTGCCTGACACCGGTCTTTACTTCAAACGACTTTGTCAACTGTCCTCCATGAACGATCTTGCAATTTAATCCATCATAGGAATTCTGTATGATATTGACTATCTTCTGAGGCACGCCGTAGTGTCGAAGAAGCTTCCATAGGGTTGTTCTGTCCACGCTATCAAATGCTTTTTCGTAGTCGATGAAGTTGATATAGAGTGATGAATTCCATTCAATTGATTGTTCCACAATGATCCGTAGAGTTGCGATTTGGTCTGTGCACGATCTATCCTTACGGAATCCTGCCTGTTGGTCTCGAAGTTGGGCGTCTACGGAGTCCTTCATCCTGTTTAGCAATACCCTGTTGAAGACTTTTCCTGGTATTGAAAGAAGAGTGATTCCCCTGTAGTTGTCACAGTTGCTGAGATCGCCTTTCTTTGGTATTTTGACTAGAAGTTCTTCTTTCCAGTCTTTTGGTACCTGTTCCTCATCCCAGATCTTTCTGAAGAGAGTTAGGAGTATCCTTGCAGTTGCCGCTACGTCTGCTTTCAGTGCCTCTGCTGGAATGCTGTCTAGTCCTGCTGCTTTGCCACTCTTGATTTGTCTGATAGCCATGCTGATTTCTTCAATTGTCGGTGCGCCAACATCAATTGGGAGGTCCGTGAGTGCTGCTTCGATGTTGGGTGGGTTCAGTGGGGCTGGTCGATTCAAGAGTTCTTTGAAGTGTTCTACCCACCTGTTTCGTTGTTCTTCAATGTTGGTGATTATCTTGCCTTCCTTGCTTTTCACTGGTCGTTCTGGTTTACAGTGATTTCCGGAGAGTTTCTTTGTTGTTTCATACAGTTGTCTCATGTTTCCTTCTCTGGCAGCCTTTTCCGCCGTCATTGCCAAATCTTCCACATATTTACGTTTGTCGGTTCTGATGCTCCTTTTCACTTGCTTGTTTACTTCTGTGTATTCAGCCTGTGCCTTGACTTTTTCTGCTCTTGTTCGACTGGTATTGATTGCTACTTTCTTGTTCCTCCTTTCTTGAATCTTATCCAGTGTATCGACCGTGATCCAATCCTTGTGATGGTGCTTCTTTTGGCCCAGAACATCATGACATGTTGAAGTGATTGCCTCTTTTATCTCTTTCCAGTTGCTCTCCATAGTAGTTCCTTCTCCATTGAGTAGATCATGAAAGGCTTGGAACTTATTGCTGAGGGTTATCTTGAATTTATTGAGTTTGTCATTATCCCGAAGAAGAGCCGTATTAAATTTTTGTGATATTGTCCTCCCCGTTGTCCAGTGCCTCTTGAGTTTCAATTTCATCTTGGCGACCAGCAAGTGATGATCTGATGCTATATCAGCTTCTCTCTTGGTTCTCACGTCCTCCATCGTCCTCCTGAACTTTTTGTTGATGCAGATATGGTCGATTTGGTTCTGTGTGCTGTGATCCGGTGAAGTCCATGTGGTTTTGTGTATGCGTTTATGTGGGAATATAGTCCCGCCTATGACCAGTTTATTGAAGGCACATAGATTTGCTAATCTCTCACCATTTTCGTTCCTTTCTCCCAGTCCGTGTCGTCCCATGATCTCTTCATATCCGGTGTTGTCAATTCCAACCTTGGCATTTAGGTCTCCCATCAGAATAGTCAGGTCTTTTGTTGGGCACTTCTCGACGATTGACTGCAGCCTATCGTAGAATTGATCTTTAGCGTCTTCATTGTAGTCATTGGTAGGCGCGTAGCATTGGATGACGTTCATTGTAATGCCCTCTTTCTTTGTTTTGAAGGAGGCTTTGATGATCCTTGGTCCATGAGATTCCCATCCTATAAGTGCATTTTGTGCTTGTTTGGACAGCATCAATGCAACTCCTTGTGTATGTGGAGCATTTTCTTGTTCATGTCCGGAGTATAACAGCAGCTCCCCTGAAGCTAGTCGTTGTTGTCCAACTTGCGTCCAATGTGTTTCACTGATCCCAAGCACCTCTAAATTGTATCTCCTCATTTCTGCAGCAATTTGGAAAACTCTCCCAGTCTCCCACATTGTGCGAGCATTCCATGTACCTAAATAAATGGTTGCTCTGGTTGTCAGAAGGGGCATCGGCCTCGTGACTTCCGAAGAAACTCGGCTTTCATCATGAGGCGTCATAATTCTTCTAAACGAAGACCTCCTGACTCCCAGGGCAGAGTTTAAATGGTTTGAATAATTTTTTCTGGTTAGCGTTTTTTTAGCGAGTAAGTTTTCTACGGGATGGGGTCGCTAACCCCATGCCCAACCCTCCTCCTTTATCCGGGCTTGGGACCGGCAGTAGCCCCCGGAAAGGGACTCCAGGCGGAGTTAGAAAGCACGTGTTAGCTGTATAGTTTTTGATCATAGGTGCCTCTATACATTGCTTTTGTTTCGTGAAACGATCAGCTAGGTAATGTTGAGTTTAGAGATATGGTTTTCAGCAAAGATGGAGATTTGGTTGATGACGTTGTGAATCTCCATCAACTGAGGTGGTTGGAACATGCTTAACTATCTCCTGCTTTGATTTGCAATGGTAACCAGTATATGAGTACGTTGGAAGAAAACTAGGGGCGACTAACTCACGACGTGATATGAAATAATTGACTGTTAGTCTGATCCATGTTCGTATATTTAGACTACCTGATTTTGGTCCATGAGATAACTGCGTTTAATGTTTGGAAAAGTTGTGTGACATGATCTACAGATGTTTACAATCAAGCAAATGCATTGTCTCTTCATCTTCCTGTCGATTTTGAATACCAGTATTTTTTTGAAACCACTTTTTCATCTCGTCTTTCTACACCATATCTTAAATATTCAGTTTTCCTCATTATAAGCGCTGCTGCATTATTCTTATCTGTTTGCTTTTCACCCTGTTAATTTCATCTCGTCATCCATTTTTGAGATAACAAGTTAAACCAACACAGATTTGTGCGACGTTCTATGACCGACATATTCAGAAATATTAGCTTGCTAATGCAATTCCATGATTTGTGTTCTTTTAAGTACGATAAAAGTCTAACGTATGTAGTCTTGTACCATTTTTACATTATTTAAAAGTATTTAGACACAAATATGTTGTTCAAAATTAAAATACTCAGTCGTTTTACAGTTACGTTATGGAAGTCAATGCATTAGTCATTCATTATTCGACCAAAATTAAATGTTCACTTTATAGTTGTGGCTTAATATTTCATAACTTTACTGTATTTAAATCCCTTATGAGTTACTATTAGACAAAAGTTTTACTCACCTACCAGTTATGTCAAAATTTACCTGAATTCACTTATTGAAGATGCAATCAACAATATTTATCCACAAGAGAAAATCAGTGTTAGAAAATTTTCATACTAATAATAAACTGATGATCAATACTGATTCTTTTTTTAAAAAAATTATTCGCTGAAAAATTCCCATTATATTAAAACACAATTGTATGAACGAAGAATATTCTTTTCAATAATTTCTTATCAGGTTCTACAATTCATAAATCCAAATTAATAATCCATAAAATTGGCCAGATTTAAGGCAGAGTACATCATTTGGAAATCGTAATATGTGAATCAAGAATTGTTGTTTTAGGGATTTATTTAGTATCCACCCCTATTTACTATATCTGACCTAATTCATATTATTCTACACATTACGGGATTTCTGATTTTTATTCCATTATTTTCTCTCTCACCCCATGTTGACCATATTTATTCCGATTATTTATCGCACAATTTCATTTCACTTATAAACAGATTCAAGTTAACACTTGATATTAGTCAGCTCCAACATTAACGATTCGATTTGATTTGATATGACAAACAACAATTTTTGATTTACATATTACAATTTCCAAATGATGTACTCTGCCTTAAATCTGGTCAATTTTATGGATTATTAATTTGGATTTATGAATTGTAGAACCTGAAGAGAAATTCATTGAAAAAAATATTCTTCATTCATATGAATTGTGTTTTTAAAAAAATATTGACCAAGCAAATTACTAACTTCCTAACATTAAAATTTTTATAATTATTTATTCTTTTAAAAATCATGTAGTCTACGCTCCAGCTGATCGACGATTATCTAAACTTCCAATTTAAACAACAACAAAATTTATTGATTCTACAATTTTAATTGAACATCAACAATAAGTCAATCATTAAATCATTTGCTTTATATTTTAAATTAATCTGTTCGTTTTTCTTTTAAATGCATATATAGCTTTGCAAATTATTTTAATGTTTAGTTTGATTTTTCCAATTTCCTTTTCCTTTTTTTCTTACTTTTATTTTGCTTATTGTGTATACTTGGATTATTATAATTTTCTGCGACACCATCCATTTCTCATTAAAAGTAATGTTCTAACTTGAAAACTATTGCTTTATTTAAAAAAAAAGTTTAATCGATTTGTTATTTCCAAACTTTATTTATACTTTTTCAATAAATGATAATTTAGAACAAATTCTTATCATCATAATGCTTTGCTATAATTAATTATCTTAAATAAGATATGTATCCTTTTTGTCACTTACTTTAATAAGTCACAATAAATAGTTATATATTATACAATATTTATTCAACAAAATAAATTATTTTATTTTAAAGCCATTAAATTTTACCTCTTATTTCTTTTGATCAGTATGCATACAAATGGTATCTACATGATAAGATCAATTCATTATCTATATACATGTATAATTTAGTGCCAGAATCATTAAATGTGTTGACAATCTCGTCATGGTTATTGTGTTTTAATGCTGATTATTATTTTTGTCTAAAATATAAAAAAGTGATATCTTGTTATTGAACTATTTTTTTCAGTAAATTATTGTTAGGTTAATCATCTTTGGCATTTCTATCGTTGCTTGAATCTCTTAATTAGCGTTTATTTTTAGTTTTCTTTATCTTGTCAGTACTACCTTTTTTCTCTTTTCTTTTTGTTACTGTTCATCCATGTATTTATATTATCTGCTTATTCACACCAGAGATTTTGATTTTGAATCGAATTTTTTTTTAGTATATTAGCTTGGCTCTTCGTCTTCTTCATTATTATTTGCATTTAGATTTTGGCGATTTAATTATTTGTTCATTTTGAAAATGTTGCTAAATTATGTTATTTAAATAACAACATACAATAATAACAATCGTTGTCTAATATATTTGTTTTTTTAAAAATAGTTTTTTAATGTAAGATCGTTCTAGTTAAAAATAAGTAGTCACAGCCTCATACGGTCGTAATCATGATGATAATGCTCCCTTTATTCAGTTCTATATAGTTAATTAAGGTGAACAATTCTCAGCACGAAATGTACAGTGTTGTAACAGAATTCCCGTTTTATAAATATATAACTTGTACATATTATATATAATGGTAATTAGCTATTATTTATATTCATTTGTAAATGTTTACCCTCGGTCTTGCTCCCACAATATCTTTGTTGATCACCGAATATATATGTGATGCATGAATCATACATCAATCGTCTCACGTTTCTCCAGACGAGGAGGTAAACATAAGAACCATCGTGATGGTGCTTCTTGAGTTTCTTAGTAATTGGACTCGTGATAAGTTGCAAACACTTGATGGAATTGATTAGGTATAGGTGGTTAACGGACACAATTGGTGAATTGGAAGAATTATGAAGCAGGAGAGTTTATGGCAAACATTGCGTGTTTGGGAAAAGCGTTACCTAGAATTTGTAGCAGCCCACTGTGTTGATGTTTAGGATGTTAGTGTTATCAAACTCTTCTCTGTATCTTTACGTAATCAAAACACTACGTAGTTTTCCACCTATCCTAAATCCATTTAGGGGACATAAATAAACAAGATTTGTGATCGTCCGCATCTTCATTATTTTCATTCGTGGAACGTGTGGAATGTAACACTATAACTTTCAACAGTTTATAAATTTCAATAAATACCATGATTTATGAAACAAAACTGAATACGATATTTGGAAATATTTGACTGGTATTTCAAGACTGAAATATATGATCAATAATTGATCAGAATGATACTCCAAATTTATTCGAAGTAAAAAACTTTATAAAACGATTTTAATACTCACTGGCCAAAATCAATGAATTAGTTATGTAAAGAACAACTGTTCAAATAAGATTTTTTAAGACTTACAATTATCCAAACTTAAAAATTATGAACATGCTTTCTGATAATTTTCGTGAAGCTTTGTACAGTAGAATAGGGATTTATTTCTTCATTCATGTATACGACAATCGATGAAAATGATAAATGTTGGGATCCCTTTCCTTCCCTGCATTTGTTAGTAAACATTTCAGATGGTCGAATTCTCAAATTATAGGAAAACTGTTTCGAGTCTTATCGGCGATTCATATATATTTTGATTTTCATTGTGATTATTAGTCAGTTTAACAAGCGAAAATAACTTTTAGCTTAAAGCTTTTAATATAGGGATTTAACAAACCAATATCCAATTTGGCTAAAATTCTACATAGAAAATATAAGACTTTATGTGTAAGTCTTGTTTATTCCTCTTAAGGGATTACTACTATCAGCGGACTAATGGGATACATAGATTTTCTACTTCGTCTTAAGACTATTTCAATTAAAGTAATTGGTAATGATTTAGCTGTATTGTTCATTGGTAAAATACCTTCAAATCATCCGATGTAGACAAACTTGGTTTTTGTCGTTTGTTAAGAATTATCTTGACTACTGTTTCAAACATGCCAATAATAAAGAGTGAATAACACAGACGAAGAATATTTTGCCTTGAGAAAAATTCTCTTTGATTTAAAAATAGTTATCAGTTAAAGTTAAGCATGAGAACGAAAAGCTGAATTTAAGGCAAATATCTAAAATGCAGTATATGTGTTTTGAATTTTAAGTGTTGTTTTTAAGTAATAAATGACTGGCATATAATGTACAACTGGATTTAAGTCTGCTTTAAAAAATTTTTCAAATGCGGTCATGTCTTTGGATATTCTCAAGTAAATTCATAGTACTCCTATGAGAATCGACCTACTAAAATACTCAGTTAACACGACATAGTATGTCGGAGTCAAATGAAGAAGAATGAGCTTCGACAGATTGATTCGGTTGCATATTAGAAACAGGCACATTATTTTAATAGAATAACATTACAACATGTACATAAAGCGTATTGGACCACTTAATAAACTGGGCACTGATTAGGACTGACGATGAGCAAATTCAAAAATAGGGCTCAGTACGCTTTTGACTGTAGGTCTCTGGGATTTTAAACTTTATGTTGGTAAACTTTAGAGACGAAACAACCAAACCCAAAATGTTGATTCCTTGTACGAAATCCAAAACATACCTGATTAATCACTAGGTGAAACTTTCGGAAATTTATTTCTTAAGATTCCTGCGATTAATAAACATATCTATTGTTCAATCATACAGTGTAAATGACAGGATAGGGAATCTAGTTTACGAAAACGCCTGCTTTTGATGGAAATTTTATTTGAAACGAAAATTAAATGTTGAGAGTACCATTTAGTTTAGCCGTAAGAAAGAAAACTTTTGACGAATCAGGAAGCAGGTGTATATGTTGATATGATGGAAAGAAAAGTCGAAATTCGATTGATTTACTTATTATGAGTTTTGTTCAACATTACTTCCGTTTTGATTCAATGAGATGATTATTCAGTGTGGTATTCGGTTTCGTTTTCTTGTATGATATTTTATTCTGTATAATATGAGATATTCTTGTATTCAATTGACATGAAATATGCCCAGCATGTGATTTGTTATAACTCAGTATTTTTTTATATGTGATTCCATCCTAATTATTAATCACAGTATGTGTACAATCAATGTATTCCTTAATACTAAAACAGTTATATAGAAGATGGATCGGACAGACCCAATATATTACATGTAACAATATTTTACTTGCGTTACCTTCGAAGATAAAAATCTAATCTGTTCTGACTGATTTCTTAAGCTAACTACGCTATAACAAAATTATACTTCTCCACTTATCTCTTTTCATTCCTTCACAACCATTTCTAGTCCACAGTCTTAGATAAACATCTTCCTCAAAAATTTAACCTCTGATAAGTGGTCCCTTATGGTTTTTTAGTACTATTTGTAATACCGTCAATAATCATAATACTAGTTCAATATTTGATCCTCAACACTAGAGTCCCCTCAATTTTGATTGGTTTGCCCTTACAATTCACAAACTCTAAAAAATAACCTAATCATTTGGATTTTTTTACCTGTTTACTGCAATAAATCATTCATTTATGTTAACTGCATTTTGAATAGTCAATATAAGGTGAAATTCCACAAGGTCGTTTTTACAATTATTTATTGTTGTCTTAAAAATACAGTCACAACCTTATGTTTGAAAATTCCATAATTTCAAATACTCTGAGCCTGATCAGTTTGAAAGATTACAACTGAAACGAATGATTCATACTGGCCTAGTTTAACTGGATGGGCTAAGAGCGAGATATCTGCAATCTTATCCGTACTTTTGTTCAACCATACTGGAGGGTGCTCATGGATAAAAAACAATAAATCTCTAGTACATTGATTGATATAACGTGATTTACAAGAAACGCTGATTTGTTAAATACGCGATGAATGGACCAGACGTGTTGGTTCACCTTTCAATCTGGGTGTAATTGTGGGAAAGAATAAAAAATTAGTTACGCATTTTATATGTTGAAAATTATTTGAAATGTTCTAAATAACCTTTAGTGTGAATGGAAAACCAAATATTTGTTTGTCATCAACTTACCATATATTCGTCGTTATAATGTACTATCCTATACACCTAACGACTCTTTTTCCCACATCATAAGGATTTCGCGGTATCAGATACAAAAAAGACTTCAAATACGACAAAAAAGCAATCTTTGGATTTCGACAGTTCTCTAACCGGTATCAATTCATATTGTAAACCCTCTTCAGAGCAATTAATTATTTAATTTATTGAATGTTATTATTCGACATTATTAATTAATTTAATTTTATAAAAAATACGGAATTTTGTAACTTCAGTATAATTTAACTATACGAAAGTACTTATCATGTAAATGGCAACCAGCGTACGCAGTATTTTAATGACTTCAGTAATTTACCATGAAAATGTACCAGGATAGACGTTTTAAAAATTAAGGGACTAAGCAAGAAAAATAAGTGAACATTATTTTTTGATCATTAATCAATATATAATTTATGTTTAGACATAGTAAGAGAAAAAAATTCTGATTGATTATCTCCATAAATAAACTTTGTAGAAATTTTAGTTTTGTATTCATTGATAAACAGTAATAGCATACAATGCAAGTATATTCGGCAGATTCTAACTAGAGATAGTTAAAATGCTGGGTTTATTATTTATTGACGAGAGATCCTATTAATTTTGCATGGCAGAAATACTTGCATGTTCCTTGAATTATATCGAATATATCGGCAAAAAAACCTGTAAATGTTCACATACAGTGATTGATAATGAAAATATACAACAAGAACATGAATTGTTTTTTCTCAATTCGCCTATCATAATTTAAATGTTTTCAATCAAAAGCTCAGATTTTTATAAACTCCCACTTATTGCCATAGTAGTAACACAGTTTCAACTAACAAGATGGACGTAAATTTATTGATGAACACGTATACAAACTAAAGCATGCAAGATGGATGCTTCTTATTGATTTTTCCCGGCTAAGGCAGAATTTGAATGAGAACATAAGTTTTCTAGTTTTTATTAGATTAAATCAACTAACCAAACAGATATTCTTGCTTCCTAATTGTAAAATTTTTAAATTTAGATTTTTAAAACGCCAGTTTACAAAGCGTGAAATGTTCATTGAAAGAATTAGTCGCGAAGGGTTAACCATGTAATCATATTTTCATAATTGAATCCAGTTATTAGAATGTATGTGGACTACAAATAATGTTCCTTAATAAATATTCCTGCATACAATAAAGAAACGATTAATCTATGCATTTGCTGATGATATAAAGTTTGAGGTAACCTTATTCATAAGTAGAAAAATCAGTAATTTAGATCATTATTGTATAATGCATCAATTTTTATGTTTCAAAATTTTCTTATCAAATAGTAGTTTTATAATATTTTCACGAAGTCGAAAATATAAACCCACTTTTGGTTCAATCATTGCCACATATTTTACCTTTTAACAGAAACTCAATCAAAAGTCGGTTACTTAGCCGTGCATCAAAAACGTTCTTTTTATGTACCTACTTATATATTGTGACATGCTATTTTAATCGTAATTGTGTCGTCACATAAGTTTGGCTGAGTTAAGAAATGTAAAAAATTCTATAACCCAACGAATATATGTAACATAGCGGAGATAGTAAACAGGTTTAGCGGAGTGGATGACGTAGGACTTACTAAAGACTGAAAAAGTTAAGCAACTGGTATATTTTTAAAATTTACACCGTAGATATTAACGTGTTGGGTTACCTTTAGTTTACTTTTGAATGTGTTAGAATTGTGCCTATAGCATTGTTGTCCTTTCATTTCCAATATTGAAGTCTTTCATACTACGTTTATCTTAAATATATAGGTGTAGAATTATAATGATCACCTAGCTGCAATTATGGTAGTTCACCTGAATACTATCAAGATAATGAAAGTTTTAAGTCTGATGTGGTACTCAATTTCTATTTTTAGTTTTCTGATTAACATTTTCCATGTTAAAATACCAGACTTCCTCCTTTGAACTGCGGTGAAGATTACTTTAAAATAACAGTTATTAGATGGTATTAATGTTCAGTAGCATATGTTTCATGCGTCTCATCATATTAAAAATTATGTTGTACTGCAATTTTCGAATGATTCATATTTCAAAAGTTTAAAACGTCATATATGATGTTAATGAGAACAAAAGTCATTTCCTGTGCTATTCAATTATCACCATTGAGATAGCTACATTACAATTACACTTTAGACGACAAACAAGTATTCAGAAATAAGATGAGATCATAAATTCCCTTGGTCTTCTTTTTTCTCCTGCAACTGGTGTATCAAAAGGTAGTACATAAAATAAATAACCTTACTACTAAAACGACTAACATCAGTTACATTGATACTAGTTAATACTAAATATTATCATGTTCGATTTACTGATTTTATACTTTACATTTTTGTAATCCTCTATTCATTTCTAAATCATGAGGCAGCATGATAGTTATGGAATATCTCGGCAATCATGTACCACATTTCAAACTATGTCATATTGTTTAATAGAGAGTTAAATCAAAAGCATAGCATAATCTTTAGGCAAATTTTTTGAATAATAATAACATTAGTGATAATAATAATAATAACCGATATTAATAATAATCACCACAATAATAGTAATAATAATAATAATGGTAATTTACAAAAGCTTCTGATAAACAAAAGGAATTAGCCAGTAAATTCGTATAAATAACTAAACAAGTCACAATATATAGAGGTGAAAACAATTTTTTTTTAAAAAAAAGAGGAAAAATAAAGAAAGGATGGACAGATAGAAACCAAATAACTTGCAATTCACTATATAACTCAAATACATGTTTTAGCAAAGTCAAGTAAGTTGTCTCTGAAATCAGTAACCATCAATCTATTTTTTGATTAAGTGAACAAACGTTTATTTCGAAGGAAAAAATCAACAAACAAATAAAAGATTTATGGATAACAAGAGGGAAACACAAGACATTTAATCAATTTAATAGAAGGAACAAAATAGATAAGTTTTTCTATTTGTAATTTTAATAACTAAAACGTAAATACACGGAGAATGAGAGGAAGAAGAGTAAAAGAGTATGAATAGTATTAAATGCTTGCATGTGAACTGAGCAATTATATATATATATATATATATATATATATATATATATATATATTAGTTTTATTTTTTCGACTGTGAATAACTCCTTTTTTCTTGAATACATAATTCCATAAGACTATCGTTAATATTAGAAATATTTTTAATTGAAGAGAAGAAAGCATTATAAATAACAGGTATTTCTGTTATAAACATCTTGTGAAGAAAGTTGCATGTATGCATGCTTAGGTATGTGTATTTGTATGCATTTGTATGTGTGTGAATGAGCGTTTGTGCCTAATTATAAACTAAAGAAGTGTTGAATATTTGACGATGAGACTAACCAGTTTGGTAATATGTAAATAAACTGAATTACATCAAATAAGGAAACCCCATTACACACTGAAAATTTATAATTAAGTAAATTTTTAGTGGATATATATGTTAACCAACACTAAACGCCCACAGACTTATAGACAAGAATAGGAAAGAGGTAAATAAATAACCTAACACGGATAAAGGATAGGATATTTGAGTAAATAAATTTGTTCACATGGTAACTGGAAGTGTGAGAGGATTCTGTGGGAAAAAAATAGGAAGAAAAGTAAATGCTATTTAGATGATTACATTACCGTATTTTGGTTTTTTACAAAAACTTTCTGTAATATTTTTGTATACACAGTCACTCGCACTATTATTTTGAGGTCTACAACAAGATGGAATGAAACACATGAATGACGTGTTAGGGACAGAGAAGAGGAAGTATAGCTACACACATGCACACACACAACAGGAGTAAATAAACCATGAGGAAAACGCGTTCACTTTATCTAACCATCCAGAAGAGAAGATAAATAATTACAAACTGGAAGGAAGCAAAAAAAACATTTGTGTTTATGTGTGGTTGACTAAATGAGCAAACTTATTGATTTAAAATAAAACATTCTTCATTGAACAACATTTGGCAATTTACTACTCATTGATTATTTCTTTTAATGAGTTTCAAAATAAAACAAAAAATTGCCATACTTCCAAACTAATGTATATTATAATGTATATTTGAATGTCATAGCAAAAGGACTTGACCAATTTGTTTCTGATATCCAATCTAGTATTATAGTATTAAATAAAACTTATTTTTAACAAAAAAAGTTTGTTACAATGATAATAAAATTAAGAATGAATAATACAAAAAAATCGTTTTACTTAATAGTTTCACAACTGCCAGATAGAAGAAAAGGAAAGCCCAAGAAAACAAGATAATTTACTGATTAATCGAAGATCAGTAGTGCTATTTTATTTGAACAAAAATCAATGCATGGCACAAATGATATCAATATCCACAACAAAAATTACAGTAAGATTAGTAAAGCGAAATAGGAAAGCGAAAATTTAATTACACCTTCAGTTGTAATACGTATTTTGTTTTTAGAAAAACCTCGATTTCAACCTTCACGATTTGGAAAAAAAGAAAATATATAGGTTGTTGATATAAATGATTGAATGAACGATATTAATGTTTAAAAAGGGAGAGAGAAAACACCAATAATTGTATAGGGTTGAATGATATTGGTACAACTGTATGTAGTACAGTGTACTAAAGATTTATGCGTATATATAAACAACAGAATGAGTGAAAAAAAAACATTGAGTACAGAAAGAGGAAAATGAAATACCTAGTTGAATTCTTTGCATGCCACCGTACACACAAATACACAACTACATATAACTTCAGGGAGAAAACCACAAACATTGATTGAAGAAAAATTCATTGTTCAAAATTAATCTGAACTATGAATGAGTTATCAACTGACTGAATAAATTTGAAATAAAATCATAATCACTAGTAATAAATGATAATAATGAATATTTTTTTTTCAGGTGACTTTTCATATTCCTGGCACCATACCGACAATTGTTCCAACAATAATACAAATGAGGATCGCCACACAAATACCAATAATAATCATTTTCTATAAAATAAGAGGATAAAAAGATTATAAATACTTGTTAATGACCTGATATTTTATAAACTTTCGAAAATGAATTCCGAATGAATGTTGAAGTGAAATTATACAAACACAAGAATACATCATTTGATTACCATAAGCAGTTCATGCTGAGTGTTGAATTTCATGTTATATATCACGGACTGGCTTTAGTTAAAAAGTTATCAAGAAATATTTTTCTTCAGAATTCAGCAGAATGTACCCGTAACCGAAGCGAGGACCAAATGCAGAACATTTAACCTTTAAACCACTGGTCAGACTGCCGATGGTTTACGTGATTAGCCTTAAACACTGTGATACTGCGCAACTATTTTCTAATATAATTGAAGGACAACTATATGTCACTTGATATGGTTAAATGTAAAATACAGAATGATAAAAGGAATTTTTAAATCTGATCACATTATATTATGTCAACAACGTACAGAAATATAAAATGTTCGGGCACAGAAAGTGCATACTACTTAGTATTTAAAAAATGATCAAATATTATTTTAGGTTAAACTAAGAAAACTATTATTATCATTTGTTATCATTCTGATTTGTTGATTTCCCACCACTATATGGTGATGCATAAAACGTTTTGGTAGTGTTGTATTCTTTTAATTGAGTGGTTTGACCGAGTTTTCACTATCCTACTGGACAATATGATTTGAACCCATCCCAACAGGAAGTGAGTCATTTGAAAATGGGGCAAGTGTAAAACCAGTTCGTTCGACATACAATATTTTTAGCTGGATGTCTTAACGAGTATTTTGTATTCGGGTGTCGTGGTTGCGTTGAACGCTTCGTCCGAAGAACCTCTAAAGATGTGGTTTGTTAACCTTTTCTTTATGAATTGTTAAACTAAGTCCGTATCAATGTGCTTGTTGATTTTAGATTTATATGAATCAATCGCTTCTAGAGACTATATGATACGCTTTGTATTTCCTCAACCCAGAACCTCATTTTCTCAATCCAATCTGTATCTGTAATTATCTATATGGAAAAATATAAGTGATGTGAACAGAGTAACAAGAAGCTATGACAAACTAAGGAAGCTATTTTGAGACGTTATTTCATTTAATTCAAAGCTTGTAAAGCAGTAACACCTATTTTTGTCTCTAGTTTTTTCTATAGACCATAAGCTTTCGTTTGATGTAGGATTCACTGCCATCGCAGTTTCTGTTCTAAAGCTATTGTCATTTAAACGTAATCTTTTGTACTCTATTTTCTACCCTAATCCCCAGTTTTGGACATAATTGTATTTTCCTAATTGTTATGCATTGTGGTCTTGTTAGTCATCCATTTATTCATGTATCTTTTCACATTAATCTGAATCGGGAACCTGATCGGAGTGTAAATCGTGTTTTGGGAATAAATCATGTGTTGTTCCAATTAACTCGTCTTCTTTCTCTCGTGAGCTTGTCAGCCAATCAGGTGATAGAATAGTTCTCGTCTTTCTACCTCAAGCAGTTAGTCCCACTTCGAAATCGTGCGTTACTAGTCTCAATGTTAAGCCAGTCAGCCTATCACGTCAAGATCTTAATTTAGATTAAGGCAAGTTATCTTCTGCATAATAGTGGGTAGACAGATAAAGGACGTAACAATAAGTGATGGCGTATCGTATCTTTCCTCGGTCAGTATATGTTTTGTACGAGTGGGAGTAATCTCTTCTCAACATATGAAGTCATACTAGATGTCCAACTTGGATGAACATATCATTACGTTGTTACAGAAGAGTGAATAAAAAAGTTTTTCATTTGGCTCAAACCGAACAAAAATTAGCATTCTTTTTTAAGAAAGACATTGATTCGTCTTCAGGTTTTTTTTTAAAAATAAAAAATCACTATTTTTAATAAAATTGATTCACACTCGATTATTACGCGATTCATTGGCATTATTTAATATTAACAATTTTTAATGTACTACTAATTATTCAAATGTTAGTAATAGTAAATTTTGTAAGGCAGTTTAAAATATTATTCTCGTTATTTTTATCATTATCAAGAAAAATTGGTGTGGTTAAGTAATATATAATGTTGTGAAAAATTATTCTAATTAGTCTATGAACAATAAATCATCAAAATTTATTGATATGAGATCAATTTATAATTGGATATGAATTATGAACGAATATGTCGTGCTATAGTTTGGTTTAATTATTAACTTTACAAATTTTTTTATATTTACGAGGACAGGCACATGGAAAATAATTTTCTCCCTTCTGGAGATAACTAAATGTCAATTAATTACCTTAATAAAAAACAGAGAGTACTGGAAAACTTTTACTTAGTATACAAAGATTTCTTCTATGATCCTCTTGAAAAGGAATACCTCATCAAATTTTTCAGTAAACACTCTTTATTTACCAAAGAATGTTCCAAAAATATTTTTGTTAACCTATACAGCGGTTTTCTTAAACTCCTGGGCAAAAAGTTTTATAAACATGCAGTATTCGCCATAAACTTTCCTGTTTCAGATTTCTTCCAATTCACACTAACATCCTAAACATCAACACAGTGGGCTGCTACAAATTCTAGGTAACGCTTTTCCCAAACACGCAATGTTTACCATAAACTCTCCTGCTTCATAATTCTTCCAATTCACCAATTGTGTCCGTTAACCACCTATACCTAATCAATTCCATCAAGTGTTTGCAACTTATCACGAGTCCAATTACTAAGAAACTCAAGAAGCACCATCACGATGGTTCTTATGTTTACCTCCTCGTCTGGAGAAACGTGAGACGATTGATGTATGATTCATGCATCACATATATATTCGGTGATCAACAAAGATATTGTGGGAGCAAGACCGAGGGTAAACATTTACAAATGAACATAAGTATTAGCTATTCGTCGTTTAAAAGTTACTTGACATTGAACTTTAAGCTATACATTGCATAAATCAGCGTAAAGATTCTTTCATAAGAATTTATTATTTTACGTTCGTAAAAATCAATAAATAACAGTGAAAATTTATCACTAACACTAAACTATCAAGACAAACAATTTCACTTTTCATCACTGATATCAATAAAGCTAGGATAGAATAAATTACTTTCAGGTTAACCACGGTTAGAATTAATGTAATCATTATTACTTAATTTCTAAAAATGTACGAAAAATTTATTTACATATCAAATCAACTGCCAACGTATGCTTTACTAGTTCATATTATTGAATATTATCAAATACAAGCCTGATTTACACAACCAGAGTTATCAATATCGTATCGTTCATCAGTATATACTCAACACAACTTCAGGTGAAGTACATGGAATTTCAAGAACAAACATGGGTATTAAATGGACAAATGAATAACAATCACATAAAGTAATTGAATTTAAACAACTATGATAAAATCTGTTTTCTAAAAACAGGATCTATGTTAAATACCATGTCTCTACAGTCATTTACTTAATTCACATTTCTAATTGAAAACTATGGGAAAACGTTAAAAAAAACTGTTAAATGGAAATAGTATCCCTAGTAATCAAATTCCTTTAAAGTTTACACCTGTTATTTCTAACACACTTTATTATTTTGTTTTTAGATAACCAGGAAATATCGATTTGATGCGTGCCTTCTACAACCTACTGTAAATATTTACTTTCATGTTGAGCAATGAATACAGTAAATTTGCTAAAACATCCGAGAGAAAGTAATAAAAAACTTGAATACAAAAGTAGAATTTAAATGAAAGAAATAAAATTTTTAATGACTTTGAGTAAAAAAGAATGAAAAAAAGTATCATTCAGTTAAATTATACTTTATTGTGATATTTTGGTTCTATTATCTTACAGATATCATCCTTTAGTTACAAAAATTCAGTAAAGTTAAGAGTATGTTTTGTTTATAACTCATTAATATATCAGAAATATGATAACGCTCAATAACTAGTTTAGAATGAACAGATAAGTTGGTAAACAAAGAGAACAACTTCAGTGTATGTTTTCTACATGATTTAGTTAGATCAATGTAATTCAGTAACCAAATAAAGATTTCTATATTTGACTATAAGTCAAACTTTGATATGATGGCTAGCTACATCAAAGTATTCAGTCTTTGGTTGGACTTCAAAACGTTATCGAATAGTCGATATTTTCATCATAATCTAAGTGTTTCTAAGTTGTTAGAAGATAAAACAATCCTAGATTGAAATTTCAAAGCAAAGAAATTAGAATTAAGAGGAAAAGACATTATATGTCAAAATTATATTTGAAATAATCTCAGCGATTGAAATTTAAATAATAATAATAATATTTTCAATCGCTGAGAATATTTCAAATATAATTTTCACATATAATGACTTCTCTATACTCGGTGCCCAATTTCTGTCAAACTATTTGTTCTAATCTTGACGAATATTCATATAAGAGGAAAAGATTCTAAAAGATTTCGGAAACGTAAAACTCTTTCTGAGGTTTCAACGTATACAAGTCGTTTTTTGTAGAATATAGCTAAAAGTAATGTAAAAACATGTTTCATGAAATTAATTACAGAATACCAGTGACAAAAGAGATTAAAAATAGCAAGAAAGAAGTAAACAACTGTTAATTTTCCTTTAATAATTAAATGGACACCCTGAAAATCAAAAATGTGAACGAAGAATTAAGTGGAAATATTATATCCTTAGCTATATGATTACCGCGAAATACGATTGCCAATTTATGTACCCTGACTTATACGACTAAACAAATGACACATACACTTGTACGGGCAGCCTAGAGTTCCGATCGGTCGTTTTTCCACCTAGCCCTACCTGTTATGTCCAGAACGCTAATCTCAGCCTCCGTAATACGAATTATATATTTCAAGCATGCTGGGTTTATATACAAACGAATCACATTTTAAGGTAGAAAATAACATCTGTACGAGATCAAGCCGCAAGTGGTTGTGATTGTAAGAGACTGTGACCAATAGACTGAGAATAACTCGAGAATAGTAAATCATATAACAGTAACCAACAGATCAAATAAA